TCTAAACTTTGTACGGTTTGGCAGTGAGTGCTGTTTAGTGAATATCTTTCCTCTCTTAGTTAACTGTTCTCTCCTGAGGTGGAATTCTGTCCAACACACGCAATTAGTTTTCACCAGGTACTCACACAGTTAAGAGACAGACTTGCAGGGAACAGGGCTGGGGGGGGGGGTCTGACCGGGTGGGGGTGGGGACACTAAAAATCGGAACACTGTCCTACCAGCTGTGGTGTTTCCAGCTGTAGCCAGCAGAGGGCAGCTTCTCCCTGTTGAAGCAAAAAGCCTCTAACAGTTTGCTCAGAGAAGGCGGGTTTCAAAGGAGCTCGTCTGAGAACGGACCCTCCCCCACAAGCTGGAAACAAATCTTTTCTTAGCCTTTGGCATCAGGAAAAAAGCTACCGTTCGTTCCCAAGGTCCTTTACTAGGCTCTTGTGGTGATTTTTCTCCAGGACCTGAACAAGGAGCTCTGTATCAGCACCACAAGGGTGGGTCTGCCATCCCTGGCTTCTAGAACAGTTTTTGGATCGGAGACAGAGGTCCTCAGACCCAACAGGAAGGATCAGGGACCAGGATAACAGCACTGAGAGGCAGGTGGCACCTGGATGGTCTTTGATTGGTCTGCTCCCGCAGCCTGCCCGCATCCCGCCGGCATCCCCTGTGCAGAGCCAGGAGTCTGAGCAGCCACCCTTGCTCTCTCCTCACGCCTGTAACGCCACGCCTCCGCCTTCCTTCTGAAAAGGATATTTTCTTTAAGTCTGCCTCAGCCACTAGCCAGGGAGTCACTTGAGGTTGTCCCTATCCATCCTACAGTCCAGGGAGTCCGGCTTTGCTGCTTGGCTCCATGCCATTTTATCTTTCAGGAATAGGAGCAAACGGCCCTGGTGCATGACAACTGCGCCGTGGTTCTGGGTCCACAGTCCTATCCTGGGGAAGGAACTGGCCCTTGTCATCCCTCTGATGGGGAATGACAGTGTGCCTGTTTGATGGTCATGCACACATCTGGTGAACACGCCCCACCCCGTTTCTCTTCACTTGTTGATAGAGTGTGTGACTGCAGAACTGTGCATGCTAGAAACAGGAAAGCCCCCAGAAGACACCAATTCTGTCCAGCTTGTCATTTAATGCTTAGCTCCAGCCACCAGGAGCCTGGGCAGAAGCTGGTGTTCTGGGTGGGAATCACATAAATATTTTTGCTCCTGAGAACAGTGATGTGGGGTTTGGCTGGTCCCGCTATAGCGTGTAGTCTCTGGGGGGTTATGTTGACTTGCTTGAGAGAGGAGGGAGGAGGAAATTCCAGGGTTGGTATGAAGCCAGAAATCTAAAAATAGTTTCTACTCAGCCCCGGGAGGGATGGCAGCTTCTCTCTTCTCGAAGGGGCGGATGCCAATGGAACAGCCACCAGGCAATGGCCGCAGGACTCTGAGGATCACCTGCCCTCCCTGGAGACAAGGGTCCAGGAGCCCTTGGAGGCTGGTCCCTGGGATGGAACTCTGGATCCCATCAGCTCTGTAGCATGACGGAGCCTCATGGGGAGCCTTGAATTCATCTGTAGCAGCAGGGAACTACACAGGCCCAAGGTCAGAGGTCAAAGGAGGATGTGTGAAAGTTAAGAATCCAAAAATGTCCAGTGATCCCACAGGGAGCCGGCGGCTGCCACACACAGGGCCTCTCCGTGTGGGCCCTGTGATAAGTTCTCTGTTGACATCATCTTACTGCATTTCCACAGCTTTGTAATGCTCCTCAGGTAGCACTCAAGGAGCCGGAGACCGTTAAAAGGTAAGTCACCTGAGACCTAGCAAGTCTCAGAGCTAGTGAGTGCTGGAAACATCCATTGGGACCCTGGCCCCTTTCTGTCCCTCATTTTGTTCCTGGCCACTGTGAGATGACCCGACATCCTCCACCACTCACTCAGGCACCGTGCTACCACAGTCTCACAGCAAAGGGACTGGTTACTCTTCATTGTCACTTGAAGCAAACTAGAGTAACCAGGGAAGAGAGAACCTCATGCTTCCATTAGACTGGCCTCTGGGAAACTGTCCTGATTGATGATTGATGTAGGAGGGCCCAGCCCACTGTGGGCAGCACCATTCCTATGCAGATGGGTCTGGGTTGTGTTAAGAAAGGTATCTGAGCAGGCCGGAGAGAGCAAGCCAGTACACAGCACTCCTCCATGGTTTCTGCTCCAAGCTCCTGCCTTGGTTGGCTTCCATCAATGATAGACTGCAACTTGAAAGAGGAAATGCATCCTTCCCTTCCCCAAGTTGCTTTTGATCCTGGTGTTTATCTCAGCAACAGGAAGTGAAGCAGGACATGGACCAAATGGCCACAGGCTCAAGGCTGAAGCCTTTTCTCCTTCATCCAGCTCACTTTCTCTGAGTTTTGGCAGTCACAGAAAACTGACCCGCACAGCAAGTTAGTCCGTAAGTGAGCAAGATTAATTCAACAAACGAGCGTGGGGTTGCAAGCTGCGATCCTGGAGCCCTTTGGGGAAGTAAATCATTATACATCACTTTGATTTTGGGTTGCTCATCAGAAAACTACAGAAATGCGCAAGGCACTGGGCACCTATCTTCCCTGGCTGTCAGCCGGCACCTGCCTATCTAGGTGTCCTCCGTTCGTCGTAGGGTTGAAAAGTTACAGGCAGTCTGCTGCATGGCTGAGCCAAAAGCCAGGAAAGGACAGTGTCTCAGACTCCAGGACACATCAAATAAGGATACATTTTTAAAGGGCTTTGCCTCCTGAAGTGATAGGAAGGGGAATTTGGGCAGGGGGCTGTGCCAGATGAGTTTCAAGTTTGCAACTCTCTGGAGAGCCAGGCAGAGGGGAATGGGGGAGGGCAGGAATTTCTTGTAATCAGGGACTTTTAAAAAGCCATGCCTTTGCACCAAGTAGGTGGGCCAGTCATTCTTTGCTAGACTGACACCCATTTCTGCAGAATCGTAAAATAGACACCGTTTCACTTTCCTAGTCTATTGAATTTGTTATTATGGATGAAGGGGTCTTGTTTCTCACACTAGAGAGGCTGAAGAAAGACGGCCCTGAATTTGGGGCCAGCCTGGGCTCTGAAGAGAGACCCCCCAGTGGGGAGGGATGGAGAGGAAAGAAGAGAGAGAGAGAGAGAGAGAGAGAGAGAGAGAGAGAGAGAGAGATTGAACGCTGGACAGTGGCAAAAAGAATGCTACACTGAGCCAGGCTGACTCCAAGATTGTACTGGACAGGACAGGACTAGGCAGGGCTGACAGGGCAGGGCTGACAGGGCGGGGCTAGGCAGGGCGAGGCTAAGCAGGGCAGGGCTGGTGTAGGTAGGCAGCTTTGTGAGCAGGCTGGCCCTCCAAGGGAAGCAATGTTGAGCTGCTCTTAAGCCACGTAGATAATCACCCAGAATGCACTGCTCTTAAAGCACCCGAGGCAGATCATCCAGGTCACAAATGCAGCAAAGGCCCGGTTGGGGATGGTTTGAGACTGGGAAGCCATGCAGCCCGACAGTCCTTGAGAAGGCTGCCACAGAACAGGTCACAGAGGGCCAGGGGGTGAGCCAGTCCACAGGTTCAGCGGCCTGTCAACGGTCCAGTGACAGAGGACATGGCCCACTGTGGAGGGCAGCATGGGAGAAGATCGTCTATGGCCCAAGCTCCCAGACGTGGGTCAGAGCTTCCACCATAAAGGGTGGGGCTGGGGAGCAGGGACAACAGAAAGTCCCCACAGCTTCGCTCCCATGACCCTCTGTCCTCAGGTAGGTAGGCAATCTGCTCGTGCTCTTCCAGGTGGGGGTGAACAGAGGATCCCACTGAAACTCTCCCCGAGGGACTGAGGCTGCCTGTTTCTAGGGAGAAGCTGTTGCCAACTCTAGGGAGCCTCCCTCTGTGTGCCCACCTACCTGGGGCGGGGGCAAGCGGACACCCTAGAAACACAGGAGATGATGGTGATGGGAGTGAGCTCAGAAGCGAGATGTACTAACCGGGGCCAGTTGAAGACCTGGGAGAGCAGGCTGGGAGAGCAGGTTCCACTCCAGCCCTGCACTATCAAGGTTTGGCCTCTAGGTTGTGCTGTTGGTAAAGTGGAAATGAAGAGCTGGGCTCAAGTGGGGTCGTTGGAGGTGAGCCCCCACCTCCCCGAGAGTTATAGGACCCTGGTCTCCTCCCTTTTCTCTCTTTCTACTTCCTGACTTGTGACTTGCAGTTAGTTTTGTCGCATGCCCCTGCCATGCTTTACTGCCCTCTCCAGATCCTGGGTGTCTGGTCTTAACACACAAACCCCCAGAACAATGAACCAAAATAGCCCTTCTCTCTTTATAAGCTAACTGCCTCTAGTCTTCCATCATAGCAATGCAAAGCTGACGAACACAAGGCCTGACTAGATAAGCAATGATTGGATGGCCATTTGTTGAATCAAGGACCAGCCCTACTGTAGATGACCTCTGTCTACTGAAGACCAGGATGCCAGCAGCCTCTGAGTGATGCCCTTAGGTAGGCAACAAAGCATTCCTAAGGGCCTCTGCTGTGAAGCCTTCGCTCCCTGGAGGCCCGCTATGCTCAGCCACTCCCACTCCGCTCAGCCACTCCCACTCTCTGCTCAGCCACTCCCACTCTCTGCTCAGCCACTCCCACTCTCTGCTCAGCCCTCTTTGCTGCTGCGATTATCTCAGGAGAGTGCCAGGAAGCTCCAAAATCTCCCTTGAACTTCATTAAAAAGTAATTAATTTTTTAAAAGCCGTTGTTCAGTTATGGAGGGGCTGACCTGGTTAGGAGATGTAGAGCCAGCAAAGATAACCGTGTCAACGAGATCTCTTCCTTCCGCTGCTGTCCTGGGCCCCGCCCTCCGTAAAGCAGCCATAGACCCAGATGTCATCCACATACAGTATCCAAGAGATCAGACCCGTGCCAAACACTAGATACCTTAGCTCCCGACTTCTCTAACGACTGTGGGAGGTGGGTAAATACTATGACAGCCTTATGTTTTTATGAAGTAATAGAGACTTGAGAATTTTAGTGAGTTGGCATAGCATCTTCTAGAAGCCTCATCTGCTGATTCCCAATCCGGAGAACTTCCATTTTCACCTTTCAGATGTTGGCATCTCAGGCCTCGGAACAGCCTAGAGGTAAGTGACCTAAGACCTAAGCTGCTTCTGAGCTTCCATTGTCCCCAGCACATGGAGAAACCAAAGACTTACTCAGTAACAAGGCAAAGTGGCCATGTGGTCCCTCAGACACTGTGTTTGCCCTGTCTCTGCCCCAGCCAGGAGACAGTGGAAGCTAGGACAGTGCCCAGTGCTGAGTGGACCCTGGGAGGGCCTTGAGAGCCACCACTTTGCCCCTAAGACAGGCGTGACTCAGAGCCACAAAGAGAGAAGCAGGCTCTGGCCGGAACCCATAATACAGCCCTGCTTGCCTTGATGAAACAGAAGGTTCTCGGGCCTCATGTTTGCATTCCGTCTGCCCTTCCCACCAAAAGATATCAGAACTTGTTTAAAGCTGGGGTAAGATAAGCACAGGGTGAGCCTAGAACATTCTGTTGTTTCAAAAAGCAAAAAAAAAAAAAATGCTGCAATTAAGGGGACTTCGAGACACCACCACCTTGAAGGGGGCTCTAGCTGAACTCAAGCAGTATCAGTCTAGATGAGAATACACTAGACTTCTAAATGTTCACAGGTCCGTGGTGCAAAGGGAAGGGTTTGCATTTTACAGCCAGCATCATCATTGTCTCAGGCAAGGATCGTCAATGGATGCTAAGACTATCCTGTCGCTGAAGGCAGCTGAGGAACAGGGTGATCACATGACCTTGAAGTGATTTCTGTAGATGCAGTTTCTCTACCAATGATCACGTTCTAGAAACTGGTCCTGGTGTGATAGTATTGAGGGATTGAGGGGTGGACCTTCCAGAGGTAGGGCTTTGTAGGAAGTGACTAGGTCATGGAGACATAGCACTGTTGGGCTGGACCAATGCCCAATGCTAATCTTGAGGGAGCAGATCAGTCCTCATGGAACTAGACTGGTTACCCTGAGAGGCTTGTGTTGTGGAATAATCTTTTTGTACACTCTGAAGATGTGTCATTCTGATTGGCTTCATAAAAAGCTGAACAGCCAATAGCTAGGCAGCATTTTCAGGCACACAGGACACTGGGAAGAAGGAAGGAGATTTTCCAGCCAGACAGAGAAGAAGCAACATGGGCAGTACAGAGTAAAGATACTAAAGCCATGAGATAAAAAGTAGATTGATAAAAATGGGTTAATTTAAGTTGCAAGAGCTAATTAGTAATAAGCCTAAGCTACTGGCCAAGCATTTATAATTAATAATAAGTCTCTGTGTTGTGATTTGGGAGCTGGCAGGAGGGATAGAAAAATGGACCTAAAAGGTTGTTACAAAATAAACATAACCCCTCCCCTTGGTCCTATATGTGTCCTCACCACCCCCTTCCCCTTTCTGTCCTGAATTGATTCTGAATCCCTCATTGAATCTGACCATATCCTGATCTTGAACTTCATCACCCCACCCTGCCTATGAGCCAAAATCTAGTTCTTTTCTTTGTAAAGGGCCCAGCCTCAGGTATTTCATTGTAACAGCCAGCATAAAACCGATTCGGTTTGGGACTGTGCCACAAATTTCTCACTAGCCCTGCAGTGTGAAGGACATCATTCTCATTCTCGTGACTGTCACTGCTTGTCAGAAAGTCAGCTTCGCTGAGTAAGAGGCCAGGCATCCTTGTGAGCCTCCTGGGGGATTTCTCTTTGTCAGGGGCTTGTGAGTAGGAAGACATAGGAGGGAAACAGAGAGTGAATGTGGCAAAATGCTAATTAGCAGGTTAGTTGATGGTTCACTGTGCTGCCGTGGAAAAATGCTGGTTCAGACGAGCTGGGAGTTCCGCTGACCTGGACCAAAGTCCAGACTGCAGGAAGCTCTAGAGAGAGAGCCAATAGAGGCAAAGACAATCTCATTCACCATGTGTATCCAGCACCTATTTTGGTGCCTCACATTCTGACAATATGGAAGCAAAACGTAAAACATCCTGGAGTCTACAGCATTGAGACCTGGAGGGGAACTAACAGAGAACACAGTCCAACACCCTTGTTTTTACAGAAATCTGGACCAGAGAGGTAAAGAGGTCTGCCTCAGGTCAAACAGCAAGCTGGTGCTCAAGGAACACACCACACACACACACATGCACACGCACACGCACACACACACGCACACATATGCATAGTCAGACATACAGACAAACAAAGGGATGTGTGCAAACATGAGGGGGCCACGTACATGCACCCTGCCCTGGAGATCCTAGAGTGCCACAGAAGTTCAGGTGGTACCCCAAAACTCTGCCTCTTACCGCCCGACTTCTCCAGCCTGACACAGTTTCTTTGGCAGAGGACAATGGGGTTTACCCCTTTGGCTACAACTTAAATCCCAGTCAGGATCTGAGGAGATGTCTGGAAGGATGCTCCATTTGGGCCAGGTTATTAAGCCTGGTAACCCAGGCAACCACTCCTGGGCAATTCATCCCTGAGAAAGAAGAGCAGAGAAGTTCTCACTGGGCCATCTCTATGGCAGCATGCCAGTGGGAGGGAAGGGTAGAGGAGGAGAGGCCTCATGTCAACATAGGTCTTTTTTGTTAGTTTGTTTTTCTCTGTGTAGTCCTGTAGCCCTGGGTGCCCCAATCTGTCTCTGTAGATCAGGCTGGCCTCAAACTCACAGAATTCTGCCTGCCTCTGCCTCCTGAGTGCTGGGATTAAAGGTGTGTACCACCACTGTCCGGCTAGAACAGATCTCTTCATTTCAAGCCGTGGAAATAGATGTCTGTGGTCTGAAATCCAAGCACAGTTTCTATATGGTCATCAGCACACTGCCCCCATAAACCCAGGCTCAAGTTGCTCTTGGCAAAAACCACACAGCCAAAGAGCCTTGAGATCCCGTTTAGTGGTTCCAGGAAGTATGCGAAGAATCTTGGAGCCTTCAACCCTTCTGCAGAGACATCAGCCCAGACCCACACAGCCACGGCTCCTCCAACTTCACTCTGGAAATCAGCCTCGGGACCATGAGGGGGGAGAAGAAAAATGATGTTCTGAGCTTTGACCTGCTGTGGGATCTGGCTCCACAGGGGATGCGCTGTGAGGGGAGAGTCTCCTAGAGGTGGTCCAGCATGTCTGGGAAGGTCTTCCCACAGCTTGCATCCCCCAAGCCACAGCACTTGAACTTTTGCTGTGTCTCTTACGTCGCTGCCTGCAGTGTTTCCAGGAGCTGGTCTGCTTGCCACCGATGACTCCTCAGGGTTCTTGGGGCTGTCTGACCGGAGCTGCCTGAAATCCCAAACTAGGCATGAAGGCACAGGGTCCTTCTGGGGACACTGGTGGAGAAGTTCCGTTAACACAGGGGCCTTGGGATCCTGCATATGCTTAAGAGCAACATCACAACCTGGGCCAGCATAGGCTCCCTCTGCCTCGGTTTATAATTTAGGCCCCCAGCAGGCTCTGCCCCAACCCGTGATGTGTAACATGTAAAGGGGCCTGGCAAGACTATAGCCACATGCATACTTCCTAGGATACAGCGGGAGCCCTGTACACACCCGCAGCCACTGGAAGCGGCATGCCAGTAGGAAAATGGCCTAAATTGCAAACGGCTGGTTTTCAGTTGTGACTTGGATGTAAATGAATGTTTCCTTGCCCCAGAAAGGGTACTCAGAACCAAACAAGCCCCCTCAAATGTGACTCGGCAAATAAACGAATTTGCAGGAGCATGGGTGCCGCAAAGGTGCTTTGTCATCTAAAAGTCCCACGCCAGCATGGGTGACAACTACATCCTTAAGAGCCCTACACCTACTCAACCTGTACATCACAGCACCTCCTCCCCAGCAGTCCAGGAACCTATCCATCTCAGGGTTCTGCAGAATTTGTTGCCAAGACTATGTATGGATCAAGGTCTTGTGTAGGTCGCCATGATCACTCCACTTTACAGCAGGGATGACTGTGGAATTGCCTCAGGACAGCTATGGAGCTTGTGAGGGCAGCAACTCCCCTCACTGTACCTGACAGAGACTTCAGAAACACCCAGACTGCATTGGCCATATTTACTTTGACTTCACAAATATGTCCAAGATACATAAACTCTTGCCAAGTTGTTCAGGTTGGACACACACTGGCTGGCTGGTTGGTTGGTTGGTTGGCTGGCTGGTTGGTTGGTTGGTTTTTTTGAAAGAGGGTTTCTCTGTGTGGCCCTGACTGTCCTGGAACTCACTCTGTAGACCAGGCTGGCTTTGAACTCAAGAGATTCACTCCCCTATGCCCTCTGCCTCCCGAGTGCTGGGATTAAAGGTGTGCACCACCACCTCTTGGCAACACACTGTTTTTTTAATGTTGCAATGTTTTGTTATAAATTGCTACATGTGTAAGGTTTTCTTGTTTTGATTTATTTTGTTAGTGGTGGTTGTTTTAGGGGTTTTGTTTTGTTTTATTGTTTTTCTGACACAGGGTCTCACTCTGGTCAGTCCTGGGGTTGTGTTCAGTTTTCTCTGCTGCCATGTGGGGGCAGAACCAACTCTCAGAATGACCCCTGCCAACACAGGGTGTGCTTTGCCCTGCACTACCACTGGGTGGGGTCCCAAGGTTGAACGTGGCCACGAGCCAATAGACAGGCACAGGGCGACTGACTTTCCCCTTCCCCAGCCTCCAGTGTAACAATGTTTGCTCTACAGGAATCACCCCGTCTCAGATATTGTATTATACAGGACAGCCCCAAACAGGACGCTGTGACATGCTTGTATTTGTTCCAAGGACATTTCATTGCAGATAAAAACCACCAAGCTCACAACTATTTCCTACTCAAGTCACAAATGAAGCCAATACTCTCTGCCCACACTGAGGCCACGCAGCCTCTAGGAAGTGTTGTGCTCAAGGCTCAGGGAGGTCTGGTATACCAAGTTCTGGCTGTAAGACTGCATTTTCATGTTTTGTTGAAGGTCTTTTTGTATAAAACGGTCACCCCAGATGACCTCATCAAAAGCGTTCTCTCAGAGTTACCTGCCTAACTGGAGGAAGTGAGGTTAGGAAAAGGAAGCTGCCCAGAGGAAGCAGTGTGGTCCAGCATGATCAGGCAGCACTGGTGTCACTGGGG